AGCTCTCCGTAGTCCTTTATTTTAGCCTCTGTCGAGGCTTCTGTAGGTCTGCCCTGCAGAGGCAAAGAAGGATTTATTCAGTCTTTAAGGTCTTTTTTTCCTGGTGTACAGAGGATGTTTCATTTAATTTATTTTGAAACATGATAACAATGTTTACATTGAATGCTTCATCAAGATGCATCATGTTTCAAAAGGTAAAGGACAATAATTTACAGTAAGACAAACAGTATACCAACTTTTTATATATTACTCTTTTTTGTATTCATCAAAAAGACTTTTCTTATATTCTTTTTTGAATTGCTGGATGCTTTTACATCGTTTAATGTTTTCAGGCCAGCTGTTCCAGAGCTTCACTCTAATGCTAATTAATAAACTAAAGCTTCTTTTTGTTGTTCGAACATACTTAGTTTTGAAATTTAATTTTCCTCTTAGATTATTTTTTCCATCTCTATCAGAAAACACTTGTTGTATGTGCACGGGAGGTGTGTTATTTCTTGCTTTAGAAAGAATTTGAGCAATTCTGAAATTGATCAGATCTACAAATGTAAGAACTCTCGAATCAAGGAATAAACAGTGAGTGTGATCTCTATAACGTTTGTTATTTGTTACTCGTATTGCTTTCTTTCGCATAATAATCAATGGTTGAATGTTTCTTTTTCCTTCGCGCTAACTCACTCTGTCCTTTTTGTGCAGCATCTGTGGATTCAGATTCCTGAACAGCTGGATCAGCCCTCTCGCCGACATCATCACATCTGCGGAGCAAAAGGCGCCGCATTAACGTATCCGGCCCAAAAAAACGCAAAGTCAGGATAGAAAGCGAGATAAAACCACCCACTCTTGTCTTTGTGGGTCTTGTACTGGGCCAGGTCCTGCAGCAGGTCTTCGGTGATGGCCAGAGGACAGCGGGCCGCCACTTCCTTTATGGCGTTGATGCTAAACGGGAGGGAAGAAAACTCACAGATGAAGTGGAAAGCGAAAGCTTTTTGGGGCTAAAACAGACACATCATGCTCCTTCTAGGGCTGTCACGATACTAAAATGTTCAACTCGATACCGATACTCCCAAAATACCCCAAAATTTAACTGAATTTTGACAGGTTAGTGTCTTTGGTTTCAAACTGACCTGGTACTGATGTTATTCTGACTGGTGGCCCGCAATAATGACCCTAACCCTAACCCTGACCCTAACCCTCCAGCCTTCATAATTGTGAGAAATAAATATTTTTTGGTTAAACTTGTTTGGACTTATTGTACAAACCTGTTTAACATCCACTATTTTAACAGCATATTATGGATACAGTTTAATTAAGTGTTTGGAAGATTAATTTTACCATTTTTAAATTAATGTCTATGTTCCCATGAGGCATTACAATTTTCTTGCCTGGGATCTTCCTATTGGTGACCCAATCAAAATGGCCGACTTGGATGTGGGCGGAGTTGGATATGTACTTGAATAATGGTAGCATGTTATCATTAGCCATTAGCCGCAGCTAGCAGTTCAAGGCTAACGTCTTGTTAATGACCATAAACAACGTAAATAAATACATAAATAAATCTGGTATCGATACTTTTGAAAATGAGTATCGTATCCGGATACAACGTTTTAGCATCGATACTTTTTTCGAGTATCGATACTTTTGACAACCCTAGCTCCTACCCGACAGTCATGACCTCCCCAGAGTTTCTGTCGGTCACAAAGTTGTTGGCAATGGTCATGATCATGGGTTCGATGACCTGCAAACGGTCCAAAAAAAACAAAAAAACAGGTGAACTAACATCTTCAAACTGTATAAATTACAGAGGAATCTGTGATTTGCACCTCGGGGGGGACGAGCTGGTGGGAGGCCTGAGCAGCACACAGCAGGATCTTTGTCACCTCTGCAAGCAATACACACAGTTAGCCAGAGTTAGCGGTAATTACCGGTAATTACACGCTTATAACCGGCCCTCACCTCTCTGGTGAGGCTGGATGAACCTCTGGATGAAGGGGTAGAAGTTGAAAAGGAAGAGCTGCGAGGAAAGAGCAACACAAAAGACTCAGCCACTGGAAAATGAGGCACCGGAAACTGAAGTTCTGCCAATTTGGGCGGATCCCCGGCAGAGAAACGAGCTGGTTCGGGAAGAACGGCGAAGCACCGACCTCGTGGATTCCCACCAGCCGGGAGATGAGCTCCATCATCATGATCTTCACCTCAAAGCGCTCCTTGGAGTTCTCCAGCTGCTTCAGGAGCTTCTCGGAGAAATCTGAGGGAGGAGAGACGTGTGATTGGTGGACGGGCGGGCAAACGGCGGGCAAAAAGCGGCTTTCCGAGCGGCGGGGCGGGTTTACCTTGAGGGTCGTGGATGAGATGAATGGCAGAGAAATTGAAAACCTCCGCCTTCTTCTTCTTCTTGTGTTTCTGCCGCCGGAAGACAAACGAAGAGCGTTAAGAGCCTGGAACTGAGCGGACAAGAGAGAAGACGCTGTCTCCATGGCAACACCTTGAGGACTTTCATGGCTTTTTCCATCTTCTTTTTGTTTTTGGAGGACTTCTTCCCGGTGTTGTATCTCACCATCACGTCTCGGGCGGACGGGCCCTCGTTCTGAACACAGCGGAGGTTATTTACAGGAAACCGAGCGGATCCCCCTCAGCGGGAACTCGATCGGATCCCGTTTCCACGCTCACCTCCGACTCCGAGTCACTGTCATTGTTTTCGTCTTCGTCTTTGCCCAGGAAGAACTTAAGGCCTCCTACGAGAATCTGAACAGGGAAAAAGGGCAGAAAGAACTATGGATGTCCCGATCCAGCTTTTTGCACTTCCGATCTGATCCCGATCCCAGCCTATCAAAGCATGTACTAAAGCTTAAAGTTATCAATCAATCAATCAATCAATGTTTATTCATATAGCACTTTACAACAGCCGGAGCTGACCAAAGTGCTTTACAGAATAAAAACAGATCAAACTATCGAAATATACAAAGACAAATACATTGGTGACAGAACCCAGTATACAGAGAGTTTACGTGCAAAAAGCCAATTTGAACAAATGCGTTTTAAGTTGAGCTTTGAACGGAGGCAGGTCAGGTTATTTATCTACTTACTTAGCTGTCAGACTCATGTTGAACAGGGATTTACTCTGATAACACCTTAATGGTTAGGACACAGAGCTGTGGGTTAGGAGATGCTAATGCTAATGCTAATGCTCGTGTGGGATCGAACTTGAAAAAAAAAAAACTGGATCGGGAAACTGGATTTCTCCTGCCAGCAGATACGCATTTTTTATCAAATATTGACGGTTGATACGATCCAGATATCGGATCGAGACAAAACTAGAAAGAACGTGAATGCAAAGGGAAGAGTTTCCAGCTGTTTAGGTGGAAAACAAAGAGGAGTAGGCTTACCTTTGCCACCTTGGAGAAGCAGGCGGTGGTGATGACGTTAACCGTTTTGGCGTCGTTCCTGTGACACAAACCACAATCAGATCAACGAGTAGTGAATACTTCTTCTGGGGGGGTTTGACCTGTACCAACCCACCAAATGTTCCTCCTGTAGAGCTCCACCATCACGTCCAGGGAGATCTTGGCGGCGATGGGGTTGCTGTCCCTCAGCATGGTGTACATGTAGTTCTGCAGCGTCTGCGGGATTCAGAACGCACCTGTGAGACCCCCCCCCCACCACAGGAGACCCGGGGGTCGGCCCGGGGTCCTTACCGTGTTGACCTTGTTGTTTTTGTGCTTGGCGTTGATGTTTTTGATGTCGGACACGATGTGTGTGTACAGCGTCTGTGGAGAAAAGAGGGAGTCGAGTTTCAGAGCGGAAACGGGAGAAAACAACCGGAAACGGACAGGAATCCTTCATTGTTTCTTTCTTTAACTCATTGACTGCCAGAGTTTTTTGAGCATTTTGACTGAGTTTTCAAGAGCTACAGAATAGTTTGTGCTACGACTATGTAAACACCGAACACACCAAAAGAAAGAGTAGACTCTCTTCTTTCATCAGGAAAAGAAAAATTGTTTCTACCTTATTCCGTTCTTCCTCGACTTGCGTCTCACCGGCGACATGTTCTCTCATAGCGAACCATTACCTTTTTCTTATTTGCCTACAGTCTATGCTCATCTCCCATCAAAAGTGGCACTGCCACCTAGAGGGTCAATTTGTTACTACATACTCTGTCTAGAAGCCGATATTTACGGACAAGCTTTAGCAGATCGTCCCCCAAGCCACTCTCGTTGAAAAACATAAAAGACGTCTATAGACGTCTTTGGCAGCCAATGAGTTAAGGACTCCCAGTATTGTCCCATTATTGGCCATGAAATGGCAACAAAAAGAGCCAAACTAATTAAATCATTTGCGTGGTTTTGCAGCCGTCTGAGGACCGGGCCGCCCTCACCTTTCGGAGGAGTTTATCGTGACATCGGAGCAGCTCGAAGAAGAGCTCCAGCAGCCCCGTGGGGTCAATAAGATCCTTATTCCTCAGCAGAATCAGAGCTTTGCAGAAGGTCTGAGGGGAGAAAAACAGACCCAGACTAAGACATCTCAGCTCATTTGAAGCCTTATGATGATAGCAGTGGCTCCAGAGGGCCGAACGGGATCCAGAGATCCCCTCACCATCCGCAGCTCCGGCTCCAGGACGGTGTGGTAGCTGGTCAGCAGCTCGGACAGCTCCTGGGCCAGCGCCGACAGCTGCTGCGGGTAGCAGTGGCCCACCTGGAGAGCAGAGGTTTGGTTTTAAACCCACATCCGGCGCGTTAGAAACACCGTACGGGCTCCCGGAGACTCACCTGAGCCAGAAACATGACCAGATCCGCCAGCTCCTTGTTGGGTTTGTCCGGCTGCAGCCTGAAGATCTGAACGTTGGACTGGTAGTGCCGGTACTGCTGCAGGAACTGGTGGGGGGCCAAGGGAGAACCACGTCAGACCCGGGCCCGGCCCCCAGAGTCTGGGTTCGGGTCACTGGCCCAGGCCAGAGTCTGACCTAGGTCACTGGGTCTGACGTGGTCATTTGGAAGGCTGTCAGAACCACGTCAAACCCGGGTTACTGGCCCGGCCCCGGTCGCTGGGCTCGACCCGGAGTCTGACCCGGGTCACTGGTCCGGTCCGGGGTCTGACCCGGGTCACTGGGTCTAGTTTGGTCATTTGGAAGGCTGCAAGAACCATGTCAAACCTGGGTTACTGGCCCAGGGTCTGACCCGGGTCACTGGCCTGGTCTGGGGTCTGACCCGGGTCACTGGTCCGGCCAGGGGTCCTATCCGGGTCACTGGCCCGGCCAAGGGTCCTATCTGGGTCACTGGCCGAGCCGACGGTCTGACCCGGGTCACTGGTCCGGCCCCAAAGTCTGACCCTGGGTCACTGGCCCAGCCCGGCCCCAGGTCTGACCCTGGGTCACTGGTCCGGCCCAGGGTCTGACCCGGTTCACTGGCCCGGGTCAGACCTGGGTCACTGGCCCGGGTTCTGACGTGGTCCCTTCCAAATGATGTCTAACCAAACTTACCTCCTCCACGTAAGACTGCGGGTCTCTCTTGATGAGGTTCTGGAGCTGAGGCAGATTGTTCGGTAATTTGTTGCCTTGTCGCCCCGACATGGTTAAGGAAAATAGGTCCTATACGTGGAGAAAACACGGAAATATGTTTTTTTTTTTATAAAGTAAGCATGGTCGATGTGTACGCTGCCATTAAACGGGAACCGAGGGGAATGGACGTCACTTCCTGTTATGACTACGCCACTTCCGCCTAGTTTAAAGAGACAGCGTGGTGCCTCTAAACAGACGGTTATTTTCGCCCGGAAACTTCTGTTCCACATTTATTAAATTAAGGAAATATAAATAGAAAAACCTTTAAACCTCTGCAACTTAAACTCACTTTGATTTGGGGGCTCGTTTTCCAGGCATTCATTGAGCTTATTTAGATGCACATAAACAGGTTATTAACTTTATTGGTTGCATAATTATGCATCATAATAGATTCATTAGTACCAGCAGAAGGCCCTCAAGCAGAAGATCATCCAAATGAGCTTAAAAAATGGCCTCTGGAATCATTTCTTGAAATTCTAGCTTGTAAACTTTGTTTTCTATTCTCATTTTCTTTTCCATGTCAACATGGACAACGCTTTTTGCATGATATAATCAGTCTCTATATTAATGTTAGTGTCAATTGCTGCCAAGAAATGACTATGTATGAAATGTAAATGTAGTTTAATTTAAAATAAATCTTCAGTTAAAGCTTTCTGGAAGAACTATGCATGGTCTGACATTTGGCTCTTGAATACTTTTAGAAGAGTAGATCATATAAGCTGGCATGATCCTCGTCCCCAATAAGAAAAGACGTGACCTTTTCCTTTTGTTTTGGGTGCCCCCACCCACCATCTGCAGGTATTATCCACAGGTTTGGTTTTG